GCTTCTTTCTCGTGGAGATGTAGACATTATTGTGACATTTCCACTCTTATATATATATATATATATATATATATTACGTTTTGCAATCTATTGAATAAGAATGGCACGGGATTAATTAGTTAGATAGTCAGAGGCATATAGTCTCGGTAAAGTGAGAGAGGCACTGCAGGGATATAATTTTTTTTATATAATTTATAAGTTTACGGTCCATTCGATCCAATTATATTTTTTTAAAAAAATTGAAAAAATTCATGTAAATATTATTTCCAAAATAAAAAATTGAACTCTCTTATCAGTTGAACCAGCTGACTTTGTGTGATTCTTTTTTTTTGTTTTTGTAAATTTTACTAATTTCTACCCGTTTTCGTATTTTCACTCCATCGGGATATTCATAGATACCCATGAGGTGAGAATTTGAGAATCGGAGATTCAGATTTCTTTTTGTCCGCATCTAATATTTAGTTAATCAATGTTTAATATAATAAAGGTTCCAATTATGGAAGGGACATCAATGCTTAAATCTGATTTTACAATGCAATATATATACACACACAAACTGGGCCCAACTATTTTTCCTTCTCTAGTCTGTGTTAATTGTGATGGGCCAAGCCTTCTTATAAATGGGCCCAACTTTTTTTCCTTAATGGCTTCTTATTATGAGCCCGTCATAGTTTTCAGAATTACTTTTTTTTATCTTTTAATTGTTTTATACATATATATATATATATATATGTATATCTTTAATTATGAGCACATCATAATTTTCATAATTATTTTCTTTGTAAATCCATCGCTATTTATTGACAACGCAATTTTTCGTCATATATTTCATTGTTTTCGCCATGTTTTTTTATATATATATAGTGTATATGATAGTTGTTAGAAACTTACTAATATTTCGTAATATTTGATTTTTAAGAATACTTAAAGTGATTTTGTGTGCAAATGAATCAAAGTTTTGGTTATGGAAAAGCATAGAATATGTATTTGATGTTATGTCATATTGATGGTGAAATGGATTGATATTAGGTTCTAGAATTCAATGCAACGGATATAGGTCTTGTTTGCAGGATTGCCTAATTTTATTTTAAATTTAGGGTTTGGTAAAAGTCCAAAACGAATCTTCTATTTTCACGAAAGCTTATACATTTAAGCAAAAATTAAAAATCATATATCTGAACAAAAAAAAAATCGACCTTATTTGAAAATAATATTATTTTAGACGATAGTTACAAGCAAAATAAATAACCAATGATTAATTTAGACTAATTTTGCTAAAGTCATTTTACCTTGTATTTATTTTCTCGTTTATATATTTTTTTTATTAGTGCAAAACATCGACATTTCATTTGCCATCTCTGTCGATCCATATTATATTTGTCTTTCTTTTTTCGTTAATATTTATCTATAAAAAAGATCATTTGAAATCAAGATGTTTTCAAAACGACACTCGAATTTTGGATAACAAAAAAATATTTGAATATATAACACCGATATATTTAAATATGATATCTAAAAAAACGCATAATTATTTGTTTTATATAAAGTCATAGACCATTTGGCAAATTTTTTTATATTATAAAATCAATGGTATAATTGGTAAATTACATATATTCGGATATCTGATACCTAAAATATAAAATCTGAAATCGGAACTTGAATTATTGTAAAATCAGATTTTAGAAAATTCGAATCGATTGAAATCGTATATTTAAAGATAATTTTCCCTTTAATATCTTATTGCGTATGAGAGCGAGCTCTAGGGTCCGCACCGAAAGGCATGACGAGGACATTACGTCATGTGATATGGTGTCGTGAATTTAATTAGAAGAATTAATTGAAGTACTTATGTCATAAAGGTACACATTCTCTATTTAGTGGTCCATTTCAAAACTAGAGATGCCAAATAGACGGGTTGACTTGGGCGAAGCCGATTCAATTATATATATATATATATATATATATATATATATATATATATATAATTCATTTTTTTTATAAGTTGGGTTTTGTCCAAAATCCATCAAGATATCAGATTTTTGCTTATTGGGTTGGTTCAATCTATTTGATGAAATCCGACCCAATTGGTTTACCAACATTTCTTCATCTCTTTCACCGCCAATAAAAATCGATTTTTTTTTTTTATAAAAAAATTCATTACTTTCTATGATAACGACGGAAAACCCAATTATCTAATTTCCATCTACGAAATCGACTTTTTATTCGATTTTCATCATTCGAATCTTGGGAACGATTTCATAAATCTTTGAACGAAATCGATTTTGTAAGGAATGATGTTGAAATTTTTGTGGGTCCACTATAAAAAAAATGAATTATCTGCAATTTAGCTCATAATATTTTGATAAATACTAAGAACTTTGCCTATTTGAATTTGCATATTTCTAACATTTTTCTCGAAGCTTTCGCTAGTTTTCCAATGCATATTTTTTTTTGTGGAAGCTCCAAACAAAAATAAAAGAAATAAAAAATAAATAAATACGTAAAAAGATGAACATTGACGAGGACCTACCGTTGATACTTGGGGAAAGTTCAATGAACAAAAATAAACTCATGAAGTAGGATTCGGAATCATCCCCCAAAATTACAAGATTTGTCGGAAAACGTTACCTTTGGAAGTTTAATAATTGTACGAACATGTCAAGTTTGGTAAAAGACAGAAGAAACAACATGCACAAAACTCAATACGAGATTAAAAATATAATAATTATATTTCAATAGTTTTATGTAGATATAGTTTTATTCAAAAAATTTAAAATTATAATATATAAAGATTAATTATTTAAATTTGTAAATATTTTAGAAAAATAATAGTATATAATTTTTTAAATATTCTCTATCAATACTTAAAGAGGGATTTAGACGTTTGAAGGAGAACTAAACTATAAAAGAAAAAGTTAAAAAAACATATAATCATGAAATTGGCCCTTGATCTCATCATATAATTATCATAGCATATATCTCTCATTTTCTTACCTCAGTAATATTTTTTCCCCGAAGTTGTTTTTTAACCCATTAAGAATGCTACAAATGCTTATTTCATAATTTTGAGGAAAATACTGCATAAAAACGTAATTTAAAAAACCCAAATAAATACATAAAATTTTAAATTTCTAAATAAACATATAAACTGTTTTAAAATTGTGACGAGTTTACGTGATCAATCCGAATAACCCATCTAAAACGTTCATATATATAATTATATATATATATATATAATTTGGGCAGAATCTTCGGATTCTCTCGCTGTAATATATATATATACACGTTTGAAGAAATTCGAAAGGGTAAAATGGGAAAAGGAATAAGATAAGATGAGAACTGTAGATCCAAATGACAGATCATACAGCGACAAACGACGCAGAGGCTCCCCGACACAACACAGTCAGATATGCCTATTTTTTTTTTCTTATTTATTATTATTTTAAGTTTTTCCTCCATGCTTTCGTCTTATTTCATTTTAAAACACAAAAATTAAAATTAATTTTTTTATTAAAAAATCTCGCTAGACAACAACAAGGCGATGGCAAAATATATTCAGATATAATACCAGAGGTTGGCGGAGGTCCTCACGCGCCTACTGAGGCGCGTCTATGCCACGCTGAAATGAAGGGTTCGCCAAAAACCCTTGAAACAAATAGCCAAAAAAAAACAAAAAAAATTGTAAAAATAAAATTCGAAGATATTATTTTACTAATTCTGATTAAAAAAATTAAACATAATTTTAATTTTCCTACTGGATCATGCTTGCTTCTCTCTCGCTCTTTTAGGGGAAGTTTAAAGGCCTTTTTCCTTTTTTTTCTGTAATTGTTGGTCGTAGGCTTTTAGCTCCTGGATAATTCAGGGGACATCTTTGCATTTCGGTCCTCTAAATATTTTATTTATTCGATATCAACCCCATAATGAACTCTTTTGAAATTGCGCCCTATGAATCTTACAAATGTTATAAGAAAAAGTCAAAATTCCTCTTCAATTGTTTATGAGATTTATTCAATTATCTGTGGGTTACAGCAGAATTGCCTTGTCATTAAATTGAATAATATATTCAATAATTTATTTAGCATGGCTCGAAACGATGTGTATCATATTTTATTGTGGTATTTATGATATAAATTTCATTTTTTTAAATCTACTCAGTTTGTGTTTTCATTTTATATATTTTATCAATAATTAATTAATCAATCAGAATATTTATGTCATTATTTAATTCTCTAAAAGATAATTTTTGTTAACTGGTATTCTAAGATGCAAATTTATTAAAAATGAAAAGAAAAATAAAATAGAGACATACTTATAAAAGCCTCATAAATTATACTATCTAAGGTAGATGATCTTTTAAACCAAAATAATAACTTTTTGATAAATTTAATTTTATTACATTTTGTTTACTCAAAATTTTATTGATTTACAATGAATAAAAAAACCCAACTTAAATATCCTTAATCGGGGATTTGTATATTTTGTCCGAGAATCTAATAAATTATTTAATCAAATGGGATTTCTATAAATTAACTTAGTGTACAGAAAAAGATTATATATGAAAAAGGAGAAAAAGAAAATTTATTATAGTAATAGATAAGAATACACCAATCATGTTTAACATTAAATGATGTAATAAATAAGTACAAAATTAATTACCTATATTGATCATCTTATATATAAAAGCTCACATTTATCATTTTCTCTTTCTAGGTAAAAATTTATTATGATTTATAGGTTAAATTAAACGATGTAATAAGGAAGTACAAATTAATGTATTTTTGGAAATTACAAGAAAAAGCTTATAAAAAAGAGGAAATAACCCCCAAATAATGGAGGCGTAGTGGAGGGGGAGAGAGAAACTCCAAACTCTCACACAAAGCTTTCTTCGTTTATCTATCGGTTCTTAATCTTGAAAAGTTCCAAGCTTTTGATCGGAGAGAGAAGGGGGGGAATTCTAGAGAGAGAAAACTAGGGTTTTCCGACAAGATTTGATTTGGGTTTGTTGTTTGATCTATGAGAGAAGATCGCTCGGAAATGTCGGAGGACGATGAGCGATCTCTGCCGTTGGATCTCAGCTCCGCCGCAATCGCTGAGCCATGTTCCTCTTCATCCCCGTCGTCTTCTTCCTCCGCCATCGGTGCTTCAAACAAGTCCCGGAACTGCAACTCCGCGTCTCCGGTGACTCCGCCGGTGTGCCTTGACCATGTCCTAGAGAACGTCCTCGAGAACGTGCTCCAGTTCCTGACCTCGAGATGCGACCGCAACGCCGCGTCATTGGTGTGCAGATCGTGGTTCCGGGTCGAGGCTTTGACGCGATCCGAGGTCTTCATCGGGAACTGCTACGCGCTGTCGCCGGCGAGGCTCACGCGCCGGTTTAAGCGCGTGAGGTCCCTGGTGCTCAAGGGGAAGCCAAGATTTGCTGATTTCAATCTCATGCCTCCGGGTTGGGGGGCTAACTTCGCGCCTTGGGTAGCCGCCATGGCCAAAGCTTACCCTTGGCTTGAAAAGGTCCATTTGAAGCGCATGTTCGTGACAGACGACGATCTGGCTCTCCTCGCTGAGGGGTTCCCTGGGTTCAAGGAGCTTTCTTTGGTATGCTGTGAAGGGTTTGGGACCAGTGGCATCGCCATGGTTGCAAGCAAGTGCCGGTATGTTCACTGTTTTTTTAGTTGTGGTGTTCATATTGTTTTTTTTTTTTGGTAAGGTGGTGTTCATATTGTTGCTTCTTCGGACATGTATTATCTCTGGATGGAATCAAAACTTCTAGATCTGTTGTCCATGTTATGTTGCCGAATCCCTTCCTCTGCTCTGTACTTTGAATCTGGGAACCTAGAGAAATGCTTGATGGGTTGAGATAGATTTGTTGTTTAGTGAGAGTAGCATGAGTTTAACGTGAACTGATTGGTGCAAATCTTGTTTCAGACAGCTAAGAGTTCTTGATCTGATCGAGTCGGAGGTTACAGACGATGAGGTGGATTGGATTTCTTGTTTCCCGGAGGGAGAAATCCATCTGGAATCTCTGACATTTGATTGTGTAGAAGCTCCTATCAATTTCGAAGCATTGGAGAGGCTAGTCATTAGGTCACCGTTCTTGAGGAAACTTAGAGTGAACAGGTTCGTCTCCATAGAAGAGCTACACCGGCTGATGGTTCGAGCCCCGCAGATAACGAGCATTGGGACAGGTTCATTTAGCCCTGATAATATGCCTGACCCTGAGCTGGAAACGGATTACGCATCTGCATTCCGTGCTTGTAAATCCATCGTTTGTCTATCGGGATTCAGGGAGTTAATGCCGGAGTATCTACCTGCTATTTACCCCGTGTGCGCTAATCTCACCTCACTGAACTTCAGCTATGCTAACATTACTCCCGAGATGCTTAAGCCCGTCATACGCAATTGCCACAAACTGCAGGTCTTCTGGGTATGTATTGTGTCTCGTGATCTATATCTGCGGAATTTTTTGAGCTTTTTTTTTGTGTGCTCATTTTCAACTTTACAATGCAGACTCTTGACTCGATATGCGATGAAGGACTACAAGCAGTTGCTGCAACGTGTAAGGAACTTCGCGAGCTTCGGGTTTTCCCTTTTGATCCTCGGGAGGACAGCGAAGGTCCTGTCTCTGAAGTAGGTCTCCAAGCAATCTCTGAAGGTTGTAGGAAGCTAGAATCTATCCTGTACTTTTGCCAGCGAATGACGAATGCCGCCGTCATAGCCATGTCTGAGAATTGCCCCGAGCTGATTGTTTTCAGGCTTTGTATAATGGGTCGCCACAGGCCTGACCATGTGACTGGAAAGCCAATGGACGAGGGATTTGGTGCCATTGTTAAAAACTGCAAGAAGTTAACCCGATTGGCCGTGTCAGGTTTATTGACGGATCGGGCTTTCAGCTACATGGGAGAATATGGGAAAACCATTCGCACACTGTCTGTAGCATTTGCAGGGGACAGTGACATGGCTCTGAGATACGTCCTTGAGGGTTGTCCGAAACTGCAGAAGCTTGAAATCAGGGATAGCCCATTTGGGGATACCGCCCTTCGTGCTGGTATGCATCGCTATTACAACATGAGGTTCGTTTGGATGTCAGCTTGTACCATATCCCGGCAATGTTGCGGGGAGATTGCCCATGTGATGCCTAATCTCGTGGTGGAAGTGATTGAGTCAGAGGATGAGGAAAACAGCGATTTTGTTGAGACGTTGTACATGTACAGGTCCCTTGATGGCCCGAGGAAGGATGCCCCGAAATTTGTCACCATTTTATAGAGGATCTCTCTCCAAGTGCATCGAGGGCAAGAAAAGGTTTAGATACCTCACATTCTCCGAGACACCCTCCTCAAACGGGGGCCTTGGCAATTGTAACTTGACATTGAAGTGAACGGCGGTTTCCGATAGCAAAAGCCAGGATATGATCATGGTGGCATTTCATTTGCTCGGTCTAGTTTTTTCGTGAAAACGCTCTCTGCTTCATCGGAAGATGCATGTCTCAGTCTCAGTAAGTCCATCAAACAAAAAACTCCATGATTGTTGTATCATTTAGTTCTCTGTTTCTTTTCTTTCGATTTGGATATTCGTTATCTATTACCAACAAAAGGGAAGGCGGTCGGGTCGGAGGAGAAGAAGAAGAGAGCAAATGCCTGACCAGGAGGAGGAGGAACAAAACATTAGAACAAGTAAACACAGATGTCTTGTTTGTTTCCCCTTAGGACCAGCTTAGTTAGACAATGTGAGACTGTCTGAAAATTTTCCCCCTTTGAGGAATTTTATTTCTTTCTTTTTTTCTTCACTTATCAGCCTTATGTTTCCAATAAGCAGAACCTCTTTTTCTTCTCTGAGTTTTAGTTTTCTTCATCTCTAGCTGGCGAGAACCAATGAGGCACATCTCTCTCTTTTTCTGCATTCTTCTTTTCGCATTGCTTCTGTATACTTATCAATGCTACCAATTTGAAAACTTTGCAATAAGAACATCGCCCCCTCATGGCTAGCGAGTGACAGTTTTTGAGCTCTTTGCAGTTGGGTTTGCGCCTCATGCCTAAACCCCGAGTTTTCGTTCGGGTTTTTGTCTACGTCCCGCTCTCATACCGACCGTAAAACGATTGGTTCGATCTCGTTTTACCCCGAATCTATAAAAAAAATCCAAACTTTTTCACATATTTTGCCGGTATGATCAAGCATGGCAATCAGGATAAGCAAATGATTGTGGAGAAAGAGAGAAGGCAAGATTGCAAGATGGAAGAGGGTAAGAGCTTCTTATCCAAAAAGGACAAAAGTGATGAGAACAGTGAAGAGGATGACCAAAACAGCAAATCTCAATAAGAGAAAGGAGAAAGAAGCATGGCCTCTCCTTTTAACAGTTCCTTTTAGAGCAGCCCATCTTTGTCCCCCAAAAATTTAAAAAATTTTAAATTATAATTGTAAAAATTACAGAAAAATAAGAAAAGGACGGTGACAAAAAAAAAAAAAATGATGGTGGTGGATAGAGAAAGGGGAGCCATTGGATTGAATGATTGGTTGTGTGTGTATATATATATATATATTGATGTGATCATCTTACCAACTAAGGTACTAACCATTGGAAACCCATATGTTGTATCACACTTTTATATTCCCATCATTTGATCTTTAGACTTTGATTCAAATGGATGGTCCTGATTCACCCAAAAGCACCCATCCACTTTCCCCTAAATAAAAATAAATATGACACATAACCCTCTAGTTGCATGCATTTGTCCCAAATATATAAATCAAGCATTTGTCCTTTTAACCACTTTCAATTCCATTATAAGCTACTGAAAAAAAACTATAATAGGGTTAGAATAATTTGCACAGTAGCACAAAACAATGATGCCAAACCCCCCCCCCCCCAAAAAAA